CCACACTCCTGTTGGGGGCTAAGGAAATGCTTATCTCCCCGAGCGTGGCCTTCATCAAACCATTCCATCACAATTACTGAGACATCATTGCTACAGTTACAAATCAACATCTGAACTACTATAAATAATATGTTTTAATACAAAACTTTGTGTACATTTGCTATTATTAATATTATTAGGAATTAGAAAACCTTACTGCAAATCCTAGAGATCTACCAATAAATCCAGTAGCTCACTAGAGCTATAAATCTATCGATTACCTATTGATGGTATAGAAACCTTGGTATCAGTGGCTTCTTTCATATTTTATAATCACAAACAGCTGCTAATAAAACTGTCCCACCTTTCTATAAGCTCTCCCTAAAATTAAGGTGAATGTTTGGCCTGCAGGTAGAAAGCAGCTTGCAAGTCCTCTCCTTAAGGCCAAGCAGAGGTCTCTTTCTCTCCCAGGAAATCCAAATCCTGCCTTGTGCACTTAGATCTCTTCATACCTCTCTGTGCAAAGAGAAAGGGGCAATTTGAAGAGATGAAGGAAAGGACCAGACCTCTTTCTCTGAAGTCTGAGGTTTCTGGAAGAGAGTGGAATTCAGCAAGGGAAGGATCTTTAGGAACTCTAAAGGCAGTTTAACCAACATGGGTGTTCCCTTTCACATTCAGTTGAATGTGTTATAAAGAAATGAAACAAGACATTCTCTTACATGTAGTTCCTCACAGAGTCAGGTAAGAGGACAACACAGCGCTGACCTTCTTTTAGCTGTTTGGCAGCTTTCACAGCCACAGACATTGCACTGCCTGCACTGCCTCCTATTATACAAGCCAGATGACACACACATTACTCAACAAACCAGAAAACAGTGAAAAGTTATAGTAGAACACTGAACATGAAGGTGAATAAAGGAATGTGAATGTGGGCCTTGTAAAGGTCTTCCAGAAAAACATTAGGTCTTGATGCTTATTCCTTGTAGGGCTTGCAGTATTGCAACAAATCAAACATATTTCTTTTGAAGCCTTTAGAATCTTGCAAAACCAAGCCTGATTTCACGTCAGTAGAGTGAACTCCACAAATGCAGCCTTGTCTGTTTAACTGGGGGTTGACAGAAACACATTTTAACAGCAAAAAGGCACATGAATGGGTGGTACTGCATTGAGCAAGGACTTTTTCTATTCTGACATGATATTCCTATATTGATCTAAGAATCCAGCAATGGAGATTTGGAGATCCTGAATCTTCTTCCTGCCCATGCATTGTGAATAAGCAGAATTGTTCATATCCTAATGTTGTGGGACTCAGTTCTGGACTGGATGCAATTCCGTTTAAAAACTTCCCTGAATAAGTTTATGTATCTAGTAGGTACTTTGATCAAAAGTTTGTAAAAATGGTGACCATTACTATAAGTGAAGGAGTTATCCTTGCCATTATTCACACCTTTTTAATGTAATGGCTAAATTATTTCTCTCTAGAACACAGCTAGAGGACAGGCTCCCTCAGCTGGAAAGCATCCAATATAGAAGACTGTTCTGTCAAGTGAAGTAAGGTCTATGGTTTCAAGAGGAACTTTGCACAAATACATCTTGCGTGCCATTTGCAGCCATTTCTAAAAAGGAGACTTTGCTCACGTCACTCATGCCTTTGTCGCCTCATGGCTGGACTTTTGCAAATTGCTCTACATGGCCTGACTGTAACTATTCAGATGTTTCCACTGGTACAACTTGCAGTAGCTGGGGAGGTTATGGACACATTAATTTTGCTCACATCATCACTATTATGGGAGGTATGTTGCCTGCCAATTAGCTTCCAGATGCAGTCCAAAGTATGGGTTGTCACCTATAAAACCCTACATGACTCAGGGCCTGGACATGTCCAAGACTGTCTGCTCTGAGTTGTCTTTTCCCCCTGAGTAAATACACAATTAACAGCTATATAGTTATTCCATCAATATAAGAACTTTGTGGTCTTTACATTGTTTAATCTTGATTTACTTTCATGCTTAGGAGCTAAGTAATTTTTTTGTTATGTTTATCATTGTGCAATACTTACCACAAAGCAAACCTTCCTCTCTAATTAATCTACGAGCCATAAGGAAGGATTCTTCATCATTGCTTTTGCACCATTGATCTATTACCTGCCAAACATACAAACGGTAAAATTATGGATTTCAGCAATTTGGAGTAATGATGGACAAAACTTTTTCACCCACTTTAGCAACAAATGCAGCATAGAGCGTTACATAATAATAAGACAATTGACAGCATGTTCCAGAAAGTGAGAAATGTTTAGTACAATTGTATTGGTTATAGCTGACATGAGGTTTTCATCTGGCTTAGGTTCTGGATCATAATTCCTTGACTCTCCCTATGTAGCTGGTGCTGGGAATCTCTTGGGATGACAGGATGAGAGCGCTGCATGGGCAAAAATCAAACATATGCTTCTTGTGCAAAAGGAGGCCCTCCCCTGGGCTGGGGTCAATCTTATGTTTATTTTACTTCACTTCCACATATTTATAATTTTTTTTAATTGCCCATCTGAGTGCTATATGGAAGTCATTTTATATAGCTTTTTTCTTAATATATACATGTTTCAATTTTTTTCTAATAAAAGCAAGGAATATAATGTACTTTGTATATTCATTTCATTAATATGTATATGCTGTGGTTGAATTAGTAGCTTCCAAAAGAATGAATGAATGAATGAATGAATGAATGAATGAATATACACCCCCATTTGTTTAGCGACTACCTCAGTTAGCAACCACTCGCAAATACGGGAATAATAAATGGTAATAAAAAATTCATTTTCTGAGCAATGCATGCATTTATGACCAAATTCCATATGCCTGACAACAACACACACTGGAGTGAGGGTAATGTTGGCATAGCTGTCCAAGAGAACTTTATCTGAATGAGACAGCAGCAACCTCTGGAGGAGATGGGCAGCATATAAATTTAATAATTAAATAAATAAATAACCAGTGATCTTCACAGCATCTCAGTCACATATTCTCTTAGTGACCATTTTGCTTAATGACATGGTCATTGGAACAGAATTCGGTTGCTAAACAAAAAGGGAGGGTGTGTGTGTGTGTGTGTGTGTATAGATCTATAGATCTATAGATCTACCCTGTATAGATATATATTATAATGTATAATTAATTGTTGTATGCTATCCAGAGTTGTTTTGTGTGAGATGGGTGGCTATGTAAATGAGATATATAAATAAATAAAATAAATAAATATATAGATATATCAGAATCAGCAAATAATTTTAAATGAATCCTATGTGGATTCTGAAGCTGCTTATCCTTAGCATCACATGCTTCATTCCTTATATAGGTCTGCTGACTTTTGTCACACTGGGACTTACAGATCTATCAAGGACAGTTGGGATAAAGTCATGACCAATTCCTTCCACTTCCATTGTTGTATCCTCGGCTGACACTGCATTTAATGAGCTGGGCAAAGCAACAATGGAGCCTTCGGGATCTACTCCAACAATCTGTGAAGGAAGATAAGCTAATTAATCCCATTCATTTCTTCAGTCAATTATTTTCTATAAATAAGGAAGAAGTGGTGGAAAGTTAGGGGAGCTTTTACAGAAATAACTGTTGTTGGTCGCAAATCACTGGAGTCTTCTGGAGCCTTTATGATAATCTGCTTATTTACACATGTAAAATAACAATAAAGTCATAGGAAAGCCATACTGTTATAGCACCTGCATCTGGGGACAAGGGAGAGTAACCAGCATCAAACTGGCAGACACAACCATGATCAAAGCCCTGCTGCCTTTCAATCTGCCTGGCTCGCGTTGCACTTACATAAAAAGGGACAGGACTTTGATTGCCTGGGTCATGCCTCCATTTTGACTTTATGAATGCCTCTGCCTTTTAGTGAAACAAGGAGTTCCTACAACATTCACCTGGCAATCTGCAGTCCTCAACCTTATTGTATGGTCCCTTAATCCCTATGGAGGCAGCAGTTACAGTCAGGAGAAGCAATGGAAGTAGACTCAAGGAGAAGCAGGTCCAGATGCAAGCTTAAAAGTTTGTTCATGAATCTGATAGACTAGACATCCTTCAGAAAGATACTGTAGCCATGCCATCCCATAGAAGATCAGTTAGCCATAGTTAGGCTTCTCTTTCCGTTGCTTCTCTGAACTGTAGCCCTCTCTCTATGGGGATTAAGGAAAACAATAAGAGGCACAGGAAATAGGGAGTCCAAAAGAATGGAGGAGAGGCAGGGTAAAATGAAGTGCATGAACAATTAGGTTGTGTGTATGAGAAAGAGATAATACCTGTGCTTATGTGTATGTATGTCTGCATGGATGGACAGAGGGCACTGTGAGATGTTTGTGAAAAAGAATAAAGAGATGAAGGTGAAAAAGACATGCTCACTTTAAGCCCCACTTTGCAAGTTCTCCCATGGGGAAATTAGACCTTTGATTTCAAAAACGTTTTCAGAAGTTTGTCATTCCCATTAATTAAAACACCATTATACTGTGTAAAGGAATGAAAACTTGATATAACAGAGCAGATCACAACAATATTCATAAAGGTCATATATTTTACTTCTCTTGTTAACATAAGACAAAACACATTTGGGCACCTCTACCAACCAGCTCTATAACTGATGCTTGGTTCATAGTGCCAACAGCATCACTTAGCATCACTGAGCAGCTTCTAAGGCCCAAACACCTTGACATGGTCCACCTATGTTAGTGATGCCCCACACGGCAGCCTTTGGGGAGCTAACCACTATTGTCATTCCCTGCAGTACCCAGAACAATGCAACACAAGTGCTTCAAAATGGCAGCAGCTCCCAAGGCCCAGGTGGGGCCTGATGGTATGAAAAACATTCCCAAAGGTCCAAATAGCTGATCCAGGCCCAAATAGCCAAGCCAGACCCACGTACTTTGCATGCAGGGCACTTCTCCTTCAACTTTCTGGCAACACCAGTGATAGTACCACCTGTGCCAGCTCCAGCCACAAACATATCAATTTTGCCTGTATTTAAGAGAAATTAAATAAAACAATCAGACCTAAACAAAAAGCATGTAGCTATATTGCAAGAGGAATGTTCATGCTAATATATAATTTCAAAGATTTAACCACTATTGGCTATATGTGATTTACTGCAATTTTCTGATATTGTCCTTACATCTATGTTGTACTGACATGCATCTGCCTTTCATATCCAGCAGGTAGCAGCACTTGGCTGAATTTTGCTGATCTTGAAAAGCTAAGTATGACAGTATCTGGTTAATACTCAGATGAGAGATCACCAGAAATCCCAGGACTGTAAGCCAGGCTGGGAAGTAAACAAGAACAACAAACTAACATCCCAGAAGAATGCAACGGGAGCCCACTTTCATATTATTGCCAAAGATAACAATATATGGACATGTCCATGTAGTTATCAGAAGTCAACTCAACTTGAAGGTGTCTTTATATTTTTAGCTGCCTTACAGGTAAATCTTCTACAGTGGTCAGAATGTTCTGACGTTTCACACAGTGTCAGTACAGTGATTCTTAATAAATTTTGGGAACAGCTTCTTTTTAACTGTGCATGTTTACTAGAGGAGGGCTGGTATTTTATTATTTATTTACTCCAGGAATAATTACTTAACAATTATTTAATTATTACTTGGAATAGTGTGGGCTTCAAACAAACAAGCAGAGTAAGATGCTAATGGATTTGCAAGTACAGATGCACATATGGAATTTTATCCCTCATATATTTCATTGCAATAATCATAAAACTGTAGTTTGTACCTAATGGTTGTCAAATTCACACACAACTGAAATACTGATAGAAGCAAATCAATAGTGAGAAATGATAACTCACAATCAAGATTTCTAATAAAGTAAATTGAGTAGCATATGTTTTCTTTTTATTTAAAGGAAGAAGAAATGTCCACATTATATTGATAAAATGATTATTAATAATACCATCACATTGCTCCAAGATCTCTTCAGCTGTGGTATCATAGTGTGCCAATGGATTACTTGGATTTCGATACTATTGTGGAAAAGAAACAGAAACAAAAGATATACATCTGGTAGTCAAATTAGTGAAATCAAATGTTTAGAGTGTGTGTGAGTATGCGTGTGTATCAAGCTAGATACTTCTAAAACTATCATAATGAACAGAGAAGCATTGCTGTTACACAAGTGTCCTTCCTTTATAAATAAATAAAGCTTTATTTTAAAGCATTGTTTACCTGCTACTGAAAGTATGTTGAATGGTTACCCAGACTCTAATAAAATACTGTGCAAAATGCTACAATGTGTTACATGCAATGTTGTCTTTGAAAACAGTCTGGAAAATGGTTCATCTGGACCAACAAAGCAAGGCTCAACAGGTATTAACTAGGGTAATAATGATACATTTTAATATTTATTGTCCTCTACATAAGTGTAATAAAATAGCTAAAATAGCCCTGATTGCAGGCAAAAAAGCAGCATGGCCCACCCTATCAACTCAGCTAAGAAACCCGCAGCCATCTGGTTCCTCTTTTTCTGCAATGGTGACCTACGAGTAGATTATCAACTGTTGGTTTCTTTTGAAACTGGTAATCATAAAAAAGTTGCAGTTTAAAGAATTGGTTCCTGAGTTTCTTGTTTTTCTTTTACTTCCTCCAACTCTTTTCATTTTGTATTAAACAAGCCTAATACAGGGTTTTGCATTTAATCTGTATATACAGTTAGTAAATTTTAGGAGCTTTGTGATGATGATGATGATGATGATGATGATGATGATGATGATGATGATGACGATGATGATGCTGCCCCACCCCTTGCTTCCTAGTCATTTGATGGAGAATATCTCTGAATGGTGTGCTCACACAGCCTGAAAGACCCATGTCAACAGATACACCTTTCTGTGTTGGCAGCACATGGCAAGGATCAGTGGGTTGGCCATGCTAACCCACCCAGATGCTGCAGAGGAGACAGGAAGATTATCACTTTCCTCTGCACATCTTGCCTTTTTTTTTTCTTCCAGATGAAAAAGGTAATAGGAAATCCATATTCATGTACTTAAACTTGAGGCCACTGCAGGTCTGTTTGGTGCTGAAGGTTAGACAGTTTGCAGAACACACTTCCTCTCCAGCCTCACAACTCAGTGAAGTTTGTTGTACAAACAGAGCCAATAAAAAGATGTAATTTTTATCTTTCATCTAATTGTTGTATGTTGATGCAGAGCAAGGAAGCTGAAAATATAGAGAGAAAGGGATACAAGGGGAAGCATGTACAACCACTGCCTGTTACTGTATGTGTGACCTATGGCATGAACTTTTAACCATTAAATAGCTAGTGTTTTATTTTCAAAATATTAAGTGAAAGATGGCCCACCATTTTGAAAACTCTGGCAGACTTTCTCCACCTCTAGTTACGTTTTGTCCTTTTATTTTCCTAATAGATTGCTTTGCTCTTTTCTTTGCCCTCCTTTCTATTCTAACAGGAAAGAAAATCCTAACCTGTAAGGACCCCATTCATGGCCACTAAGAGGGAGTGAATGGACTGCAGATGTAATAAATCCAAGGGTATCCCTGTCCTGCCCTAATGCTATGCTTCTATAGATATGGGACTTCCCATGGATTCACTAAGGAGGTTATGCCACTCTGCTAGCAGAAATCCTCTTTGTCAGCTCAGAATCTCTTATGCTCCATCTTGCCTCCTTTCATAAGACCTCTGGAGAAGATTAGCATTCCTCCGTTTAATACCACACAGATAGTTTTGCATTCCAGGTTAAGTAAAGCAACTGGATGGAAAATAACTCAGACTGCATTAATCCAATCTAAACCAGAAGGAGAAATCTATACCTGATCCAAAATATGTGAGTTTGGAATTTCATTTTTCAGTTTCCAAGCAACGCGAACATTCGATTCTGGAGCATCATACTTGGTGCAGGGAGTTCTTATAATTTCAGCCCCAAGTGCTCTCAGAATATCTACCTAGAAGGAAGAAGAAGAAACCAGAAATGAAACTAATTTTCTGTACTGTATTATTTCATATGCATTGAGATAAATATATCAATAATTTATATAAATTTATTCAATTTTGATGCCATCCAAATCCAACTGACTCTAAGTGGCTCAGGAAAAAAAAATTAAAAACAAATTAAAAACAAATGGAACAGACTGTATCACTGAATAACACTACTGGCTTAGCTATGGCCATTAAAAGCCAGGAAATCTAAATTTAGGCTGTCTTATTGGCCTATTTGGGCTGAGCTAAAACTCATTATATTTACCCCATCAATTCTCCAGGGAAGCGTGTATAGGAAGACCGTTGCTTGGGTCCAGAGTCCTAAACATATCCCAATTCATGACCTTGTGTATACAGGTCAGACCTGCCCACACCAAGGAATGTGTACACAGCTTTGCTTCCATGACTGAAATAAAGGGAGAAACTAAGCACGCACATTATGCTGCTGATGGTGCAAATTTGATGAGCTCTGAGGGGCACAAAAGGTTGCCCGGTCCTGATTTATATGCCATGCACATGCACAGCTAAGTTGACAATGCTTCTTTCACAAAAGTTGGAACAAAACTAAGCACATTACTAAAATTCTTGCCTTATAGTTTGTTGCCACTGTTTCTAATCAGGTACCCTTCTTACATGTTAAGACAAACCCCATAATTACTAGCAAGCCATTACTTACTTCTAGTCATTCATTGATGGATTCTTATCAGCTATACAAATGATCCCCAACTAATAGGTATTTCCACACCACATTATTTCCATTCCCCAATCTCTGACAAAGCAGTCTGAAGCCAACCTGTGACCTTCACTTCTGATGCCTTTGGAATTCTGAAAACATGCAGGGAACACCAGAACGCAATCTATGCTCATTTCCAGGGCAAAGGTCATCAACCAGTCAAGAGTTAACTTCCTTGAGCTACAACAGATCCTGGAACCACCAAAGCCCCTTCACCACCACCCCTCCAATGGAAATAAAGGAAATTAGTTGCTCTGATGTAACTGCTGTAGTTTTCCCACAAGAAGAACGATGGAAGTTCTAGTTCTGTGAGGTTAACAGATTATCCCCACCTCATGAACTCAGTTGCCCAGGAGACAGGCTTTGTGCTAGTGGATGGAAAGTGAAGAAGTGAAAAATTATTAGACTATGATTGTATTGTTTCTTCAGAGCTGTTCAAGATTCTTACCTTTTCCATACTCATTTTCTCTGGCATGACAATGACACAGCGATAACCCTTCACTGCAGCTACAAGAGCCAGTCCAATTCCTGGTGAGGAAAAGTGTAAGAACTGAAGCAAGCAGGAACTGTAGCTGCAAGTTAATTGGACCTACAAATTTTCATTCTTGCTTCCATTTTCTAAATGCAGTAGCTCTGATTTTCACTTTAAAAAATGGGAAAGAATGAATGTTCCTACATATTCCATTGAAGATTTAGATAAAATGAGTAACATCACAGGATAAAGCAGATTCATTTCTGCCCAGGGTAGCATTTATATCTACACTGAGTTTTCTAAACGGATATGGCATCTGTTCTTCAGCTGTCTTTCCCATATATGCTAAAATAAAAAGGATAAAGAAGAAGATTGATTGAGTTTCCTGCAGGATTGAAAACACAGTATAGCTAATTTGTGTTTGTGTGTAAGAAAAAATGTGCAAATGTTAAGCTCATCTTATGACTTGATGTAGCTGTACTTCAATTTTGCAGGGAATGGGTGATGAGGAGGCAACATTTAAAGATTTAACAGTAGATAGTGCAAGAGGTGAAATAAACAACTTACTTTCTTACTACGAGAAATAACTTTCCTGCAATCTGTAGTTTCTTTGTCATGTACTTCAAAGCATTTATAAAAATAGCTGCTATATTTGTAGCCTGAGTATACTGTAAATACCTCCTAGTTGGTAGAATGCAGACAACAGTATGTTGACTTGTAAGGTAGTATCTAATTTGAAGATTCTAGCTTAGATAAAACAGCATGAACATGCTTTGGGTAAAACTGATCTTTGACTGCATTTGTGACATACTAAACACTTGTATTAGGAATCATCTTAGACTCACAGCTCCCGCCCAAAGAGCATGTAGCAGCTGTGGTGTACCAGTTGCAGGAATGCCTTTCAGGCAGTCACTCATGCCCTAGTCACCTTTCAATTAGATTATTGCAATGTGTTCCACTTGGGGCTCCCCTAGAAGACATATAGAAGCTACAGCTGTTCCAGAATGCAGCAGTGTGGGCGGTATTAGGCATGCCTTGATATACCCATGTAATATCATTGCTCCACAAACTATGGTGTAAGCTTCCGGGTGCAATACAAGGTGCTGCTTATCACCTATAAAGCCCTTCATGGCATAGGGCCAGGTTATTTGAGGGATCACCTATCTCCCATGGTTTCTGCTTATCTATTAAGATCAGGCTGAGCTGCTAAGGTTCAGGTCCCTTCAATCAAACAATGACACCAATCAGGACCCAGGACGTGTGCCTTCTATCATGGCACCTGCCTTCTGGAATAATATATCCCCAGAAATCCATGTGACTCCCACACTAATGATGTTCTGTAGCTCTTGAAAATAGTTGATCTTTTGTCAACTGGGAATTTGAAGGATTTGTAATAAATGTTAGGTTATATAACGCAAAAGGAAGATGGATTTGATTAATGTATTGAAGACCAAGATGTTTGAAGGGAAAAACGAAGGCAAGGGTTGCAAATTATACTGTGTATAAATAACAAAAAAGGAAGTAGGTGAATGAAGTTGAATACCTTGGAAGACTGTTTACTAAAGTTTTTAAAAATGGGTGGAGAAATGTTAAGACATTGAAATGCTGGGACAAAGGTAGTGAATGTTGTGGGTCCTGTTGCAAGAAATATTTGGCAAAAAAAGCAAAAAAATGGCTGCATGTAAAAGCAGGTTTTATTATCACCTTGTTACACAGAAATGAGTTTTACGTATGTCAGAAGAAGCATGAAAGTTGACCACAGTAAAGCAAGAAGAAATAGTGTAAGGTTAAGAATGAATGAGTGATGAATAAATGTGGACCAAATACAAAAAAAGTAACCAGTACAAGAAAAATGCATTGAACTAGTGGCTTATAGAAAGAATGAATGAGGATCAAATTGCAAAACAAACTATATGAAAGAAAAGTGAACAGGTTCAGAATAGTAGACATGGAAAGTTATGGTTGGATGGAGCTGACGACATTCTCAAAAAGAGAGAGGTGAGAAGTTCAAAGAACAAAATGCAGTGTATGAATCTGTGTTTGGATGTGATGGACACAAACAAGGATGGTTTGCAAGGTTAGAAATAAATGGAAAGTTATAGTGAATATTGTTACTTTTTTTCTGCACCTTCCATCATGTTAACTTTCCCTAAGAGGGAATAGTGTGATGGGTACCTATGTACATATGTGTGCTGCTACATTTGATCTAAATCAGCTTCCTCAGCCTTGGGCTCTTTAGATATGTTAGCACTGTAACTCCCAAAACTGCCAACCAACATTATGACTCCTAGAATATCTAGAAGATGCCAAGCTGTGGAATGAATAGCAACCTTTTATGACATTAAGGCCAGTTTTCAAAAACCTACTTTACACTGAAAGCATATTTACATTTTTTTATACCTGTATTTCCTGATGTAGGTTCAATGAGTGTATCTCCTGGTTTTAGGGTCCCAGCTCTTTCTGCATCCTCTATCATCCTTAAGGTGATTCGATCTTTTACACTCCCTCCAGCATTGAAGTATTCACACTTGGCGACTGGAATTTCAGAACAAGAACGAATGAGAATTTGGAGTCACAATCTCTGTTATTGCCAACATTTCCAAAGAACAATTCTAACACTGGAGAAATGATTTTAAAGATAGAAACATGAATTAACTTTAGTCATACATGCTCTTGAAATTCATATTCCAGCATCTTGTATATTCAGAAATATTCAGTACATCAGTCTAGAGAAAACAGTCCTAATATTCTTAGAAATGCTTTTCTCCCAGCTTCTATAATACAGGAAGGACTTAAATTTTTAAATATGTTAGCAAGTTTATTCTAATACTGGTGAATATACAAGAACTGTCCTGGATCAAACCAAAAGCCTATCAAGTGTATCATCCTGTTTTCTACAGTGACCAACAAAATCAACTTATCAGGAGATTGAATGGTGGCTGTCCTACAAAATGTGTAGTTTAGGCTGTACAAAAGGCAGGATATAAATCTAATAAATAAAGCAATAAATGTTGCAGGGAAATCCATTAGCAGAACATGAGGTCTGAACCCATAGAGTAATATGTTGATGGTCTCAAACTTCCTTTTCCAGACATCCTCTAGTTGTACACCCCCTGGCCCTGCCTTTCTGTCTTTGTATAGTTGCTTGCTAGTTCCTTCTGCCATCATCTATCTTCCAGCAGGATGCCTTTATCTGGCATCTACTACCTTTAACTTGGAGTATGATAGAAATAGGACCTGCACAATCAACATGCCTTACCGACAAATACAAAGGAAAAAAGATGATTAAAATGACATAAATGTTATAGAGCTATCTCCTAGACCTGTAGCTTGAGGTATATGAATAGAAAAATTAATCCCCTCCACCATATTTGGAGACAGCTTAATCTCACAAGCAATAAATGAAATTACTTCATTTTGTGGGGGAATGCAAAAATGTGTTTGTTGTTTTAATTAGTCACAGGTAAAGCATTCAGTATTGGATGAATTAAATATATTGTGCTGTGATTAGCAGATCACAAGATGATTAACAGATTCCAAGATGGGATGGATTTGCTGATAATAGAAAGGACTGTTGCAGAGATCCCAAGATGAACCAAATACATGATAACTGAGCTTACACAGAGAAAATAAGTATCAGAGACCACAAAGGATCCTTAAATAACACTGAGAAAGTAAAGAATAATCTTAGTGCAATGCTTGTGTTTTTTCTTGAAAGCCGAAGCTTTGATTTGGGACTGAAAGAGAATAGCTTTCCCCCTGTTCCATATCAATTCATGTTTCTTGTTTGTTTCCCTTCTCCTTTTTAGGGAAAAAAGTTAGGGAAATCTCCTTTGGCTACTCTCCATACATCTCTCCTCCAGGGGATCCTGGGCGTGAAAGAGAGAAGTGTTCTCAAGTATCTGAGTCATCTGTCCTTAGACAGGGCTGGGAGACAGAGGGCAATCAGACCAGGAAGAGATATTTCTCAATATGTTAAAATTTTACTTGCAGATAAACACCCTAAAATTACAGCGGCAACAGCCAGATTTTTAACTACAGCTATAAAAACAACAGACGTCTTTAGTAACACGTCAGTACGTCTGAGTTTTAAATGTAATATTTATCAATTTATTTTATGTGTTAAACTGTTTTATCTAATGCCAAATTTTAGATTACATCTGCACTTTGTGGTTTGGATCTTTTGGCCACAAATAAATACATACATACAGAGGGCAATCTTTGTTATTGTTTTGGTTGTTCCTTAATAACCAATATTCAAAGACATACTGTTTCTGATCACCATCAGCATTTTAAAAAAATGTCCATGTGCAAATAAAAGCTTCCATTTTGCACTGCCAGATCATTTGCAGGCTATATTTCAACTTTAATGTGTATGTCTGGTTGTCTGATAAACTTGGATGTTAATTTCTTCCTGTGAAAATTATCAGTTTGTTTTCCCCATAAGACAAGGTAGGAGAGAAATAATAGAAGGAAAGAATTAAACATCTCATCCATTTTAGGAGTCCTCTGAGTAAAAATCAGTTCATCAGGAGACTGAATTGGGGCTGACCTGTATAATGTATAGTTTGATTCCAAATTAAATAGATTTACTATTAGGTTGGAGAAGGGGATGTTCCTAATTAATGAGTTAGCAGAGAAAATGAATATTTCTTAGGAAGGCCAAAAAATGGGCGTTAGAATTACTAGCCAACAGCCAATGAAGCACTAGCAAAAATATTAGAATTCTATGTATCATGTATATAGTCACTCTCTATATTCTTTCTACTAGAGCTCTAATGTACACCAGTATATTAGAGTTCTTGCTTCTGACAACTGTCAATCTTTCCTCATCTCTTTTTACTTCTGCAATCAGTATTTCTTATTAAGTGTCAGTTAGGTCAGAGTGTGCAATCTGGGGTCCTTCTAAACAATTTTGTCACCCAATAATCATTATTAATGTGGCAGAAAGGGGAAAATATTAGTAACAACACTCAATATATTTAAGTAATTAAGTTAAATTGACTCACATTTCATTTTTGTCCTGGTTCTGCCCATACTCTGTCCCACACGCTTTTTGGACTATAGCCCCAATATGCCACTTTGGCGGCTGTCAGCTGCAAAATCCATTGTACAGCCCAACCTACATGCTGGAATGAAAACTTTTCCTCTTTGCTCCTACCCTAAATTCAGCAGCATTTTAGATGACTTAGGGAAAGACATACTCACAAAGTTCACACTTGAGACCATAAGCTTTTGAAATCTTGTTGACACGGACCAGAGGAGTGTGCCCAATTTTCTCTAAGATGTTTGCCAAAATCTTTGGTTCTTTTCGCCTGCACAAGAAAAAAGGACAAAAACAAAAAAACCCTTGAAATGTATTATTGTCTCCAATAAGAAATGGTATGCTAAAGTAAGGCCTGACGTCTGATTTATTTTTAATGCTGAGCAAGAGGAACAGCAATGTAATCCTTGATTACATAGCAAATCTGGGCTCAGATTAGAACCTATCATGATTCAAATCAATGCTAATATGACAGATGTCATTAATATTAGCAATATGGAAGAACCATAGAGGTTATCTCCCATTAATATTTTATTTTTTTTAAGTACACTAGTAAGTTGTGAACCACTTTAGTCACTGAAAGCGCATGTGGGGGCCTGAGGGCCCAACTGATTCTTCCCAGCCACCTCTGGCCTCACACTGAAATGGATACAAGCCATGGATGGCCTTCTCTTGCAAGGGGCATCTGATCCCATCACCCAGCTGCGGAGGACTCTTATGCAGGGACATCTGTACATGCAAGATTGTTTCCATTACTGCTTATCTGGCAGGGTTAGCATGGCACCAGAACATTAAAGTATTAGCTACTCTGCACCTTTACTGACAGGCCGAGTTTTGGAACAGAGCTGATAACCTATTTCTGGTCTATGTCATTTTCAAAAGTTTGTACTCACCATTCATTCCATTTCAACATCTGGGCATACTCTCTCAAATATGCATTTAAACACTTTGTAATTAGTATTTTAAACTGTATTTTCTCTCCAACATACATTTAAAGGTATGTTTTGATTGTTTCCAAGCTGCTGCCAAACAAGTTCAAAATCCAATGACATTGATTTAACAAGTGTTAATCATATCATTTTATGTATGAAAATAATGTAGAAAAGTTGCATAAATTTCCTGGGCTAAGCTCAAGCTACTGTTCCACAATCTCCTGGAACAAGTCATAGTTGTCCCTATCTCTCATCTTGAAATTCTTGTTTAAAGTCCTTTTAATTTATTTCTTTCATAATAAAAACTGAAATGAAGGAATTGATTGGCATATATAAATGAAGCCTGAGCACACTTCTCTTTGTACAGATGTTTCCTTTCTGTCAGAGACCTGGTCAAACTTGACTGAGGTAAGTACAACTTCTAAAGTGTTAGAAGATAGCTACCTGTAGGGCATTGAACTCTCTTCTGTTTCATACTGCCTGTGAGCCAAAGGTATCTGTTTCCTGTCTGAGATACAATTTTAAAGCAGACTTTACTCTAAGTTGCTACTTACTGAGAAACATAGTGATGAGGTGACTCTGAGATGGATTTTCCCGGTTTCCAGGTGCATCTGCTAGGCAGATTGGGACGAATCCAGATGTTACTGGTTTTGGCTTCTGAGTTTTCCACATCTCCATTGAGGAAAGGACAAACTCTGATTGTTTTATTTGAAGTGTAAACAGAAGCCATCATAAGCTACAAAGGGAATATTGAAAAATGAGCATTTGAACAAAAGCTTGAACTCTAGTAAAACAGAACATACCTAGCAGAAGGAATCTTTTTGTTTAAATATACATGTTTTATGTATTATAGAAGGCATTACTACATTTTGCAACACAGCATTTTTACAGCTGAAATGAATTTTTATTTTTGGCAGCCAACGATTAAAGGAGGACATGTCAGTGATGTGATGACATCAGTGCAGGTAAAAGCAGAAAATCCACCTCAAGTTTTTCCTATTTGGAAAGAGTCATTACATCTTAAAATTTTTTAAATTAAAAGAACAAATTATGGTGGGAAATCAAATTCTAATTTAGCGCTTTGCTGTGAAATTTCAGCAGCAAGATCTTGAGGACTATGAACACAGTTTAAAATGTGCTTAGAGATCATCTGTAGGCCATGATTTCCCTCCTCTCTTCCTTTCTGGAAACCACCATCCTGCTGATCCTTTAAGACTTTCATAGGTGTTTGACAATCTTCTTTACAGTGTTACTATCAACCATGTTCTTTGGTGTAGTGTGAGACCATAACTAGACAGCTACAATTTTATTTTTTTCTGAGTAATTTTATTAAAGATTATAATTACAATAGTAAAAACTAATACAAACTAAAAGAAAGATAGAAAAATAGAAAGAGTAAAAGGTACAAAGAGAAAAAATAGGAAAGATATGAAGAATAGAAAGAAAAAAGAAAGAAAAATAAAAAATTTAGTAAAGAAAAAGAAAAGAAATTACAAAGAAGTGACTTCCCACCTTCGTAACAAGTATAAACAATTTTAGTAACTTATCACCTTATCTTAAAATACAGCAAATGATCTCTTCTTCCAATATCCCATCTCTTATCTATAAACAAATCCATAAAGTATTGTCATTTCAGTCCTGGTGTCAGCAAAAGTCCATTAAAAGTTACCAGAGATAACAACGTATCTATTTTAACCTTGGTCAAATAAACCAACCCTATATTTCTTCTTTTCACTTCTAACAATCTTAATCTTTAGTCCATTCAAATAATGTTGTAGAACTTGATTTCTTTTCATTTCTTCTTTGTTCCTTCTCACAAGATTCTTCAAAGCTTTAACAAGTCTCTTTTGTAAGTCCAATATAGAAGAAATATTCAGGTCAGTCTCTTGGTTTATTGTTTCTATGTTCCTTTTAATCATTAAAACATCAGCCAGTTTCTTTTGTATGTCCAGTGTAACATCTTTTTCCATGTCATTCTTGTAGCCTGTCATTTGTAAATCCACTTTATACTCAGTCTCTGTCATGTTAAGTAAAACATGTTCCTCTTCCATAACATCTTTTAGACACAGTCTATCCATAGAGGGAGATATCATTGTTGACATAGCCAGTTTCTTTTGTATGTCCAGTGTAACATCTTTTTCCATGTCATTCTTGTAGCCTGTCATTTGTAAATCCACTTTATACTCAGTCTCTGTCATGTTAAGTAAAACATGTTCCTCTTCCATAACATCTTTTAGACACAGTCTATCCATAGAGGGAGATATCATTGTTGACATTGTTAATATTAATTTCTGACTCCATTTTTCAAAAGTATCCCTCAATATTTTCAGTGTAAGAATATTTTGTGCCATTCTGTAACTGTTAGTCAAGTTTATGTGTTCTTCTCCTTTAAATGAAATCTTTAGTTCCCTTTAGTGTCCAATTTTTAAAATCTTATTATATTTTTAAAAAAAACACAAAACAAAAGCATTTTCCTACGGGAAGGATTCTTTATAATTAATTCCAAAATCTTATTTCAAATTTATCTGGACCCTTAGTCCATTTGTAACTTTCATTATATTTTTAAAAAAAACACAAAACAAAAGCATTTTCCTACGGGAAGGATTCTTTATAATTAATTCCAAAATCTTATTTCAAATTTATCTGGACCCTTAGTCCATTTGTAGCCTTTTAAAACCAAAGTTTTAATCAACCTTATTGCTGTTTATTTATTTTTTTTTAAATTAAGTTCTTAAACTTATAGTTAAAATTTTCTTTCATTAACGATTCAAGGCAGACTCGCCCGGTATTTTCAGACTTGCCAATTCAAAGGTTTCTAATAGCTGAAAAGTAGTTAATAAGCAATTTCCAAATGTGATTAAAAAAGGAAATATGTGAACTTAGTGTCCTTTTAAAGGCGTCGACTGCAGTTTGAGCAAGATGGCTATTCCCATGTCTCCCAGTGCTCAAAACCCACCGGAGACTGTTGTCTTGCAGTTTCTTCATGAGGAGCAACTGTCTAGAGCACTTGTGGGTGATCTCCCATCCTCTCTTTGTCCAGAGAGGTTCAAACAGCTGGTCTACTCACCAGCTCTTCATTCTTCACCATGGTTGTTGGCTCCACTTTTTGCATAGCTATCTTCAGTCTGCTATTTCTTCCTCCGAAGGTCCCAAGAGCTACAATTTTCAATGTGAATTCTCCATGTACTTCCAGAATCAATACTGTATTCTTATTTTTGGATGCTTTCCTCATTCCTGCACTACAGCGATTTTTGTTGAAGCTCAAGGAATATTTCTTACAATCACAATGACACATTTTAACAATAGTAAAACATTCTATTGTTCCAAGCTGTCTTCAAAATTATTATCTTGTATTCCTCATAATTCATTTCATCCTGAGTTCAAAGTTTATTTAAGGAATATTTCCAACCTCAATTACAAATCAAAGTGCTTCCTGGACGATGAGTTCAATGGGATCAAGGTGCAAGCAAACAACTGTACAGTGTTATTACCAACGTCCTGCAAGGAATCATTCACTCAGTGAAGTCAAAGCACCTCCCCAGTTAACATATTGTTTTGGAGATATAAAACTATTTTGAAGTTTAAAACTGATTTCAGCTGTATTGTATCCAAGAAAATAGCAACAATTTGTATACAAGAAAACTTGCTTTTATTTGAACATTTTTCTAATCACCAATAACCTATTACTACTAATGTTTACCATTTGAGAAAACATTTTTTTCATTTATTATATTGAGGTAAATCTTTTTCTTCTTTCAATTTTTGAGAAGTGCCAACGTGATAAAATGTAATGGAGTTCAGTATGTAAACCATTATGGCTGTCAAAGACAAAACACTAATAAACTTTGGCCAAAGTAGATACAAAGTTAGCCAGATAACTATCAATACTGGGGAGGTGTGGACAGGGATATAACACTTTCCTCTTTTCTAAGGAAAACCCCTTCCCTGAAGCTTTTTTTTTTTTCAATGTCAGTGGCTTTTGAATAAGAGCAATCTAATATCTATAACTATCTCCATTGTGGAACTGGCTTTGAACTGCAGCCTTCATGACTTAAACATTTGACCAGATTTTTGGGTTTTCTTTTCCTTCCTTCCTTCCTTCCTTCCTTCCTTCCTTCCTTCCTTCCTTCCTTCC